AGTTTCACTAATTAATTTTTATAAGTTTGAACTCGAATAAAATGGGCGAACTCAGACTAAAAATATAATATGTGTTTCTCATTTTTAGTTTATCTCTCCTTAACTGACATTTTTATTCTTTATTTTACTGTTAATACTCCCTCCGGTTCCTATTAAAGTTCTCACTTTCCTTTTTGGGATGTCCCTTATTTAAGTTCACACTTCCACTGTAGGAAACAAAACAGTGCCAAACAGTGTTGAAACAGTGCCAAACAGTGCCAAACAGTGTCCAAATAGTGCCAAACAGTGCACTCCACTGTAAAGTCAAATTTATTTCTTTAATCTGTTTGAAGTCAAACTGAGAACTTTAATAGGAACCGGAGGGAGTAAATATTACAAGCAAATATTATAATTATTACATATTATGGTTACAATAATAATAATACTTACATACATGTTATTATTTTGTAATTATTACTATTACTCCCTCCGTCCCCCAATTAAGTTACATGTTTGATTTCACACATATTAAGGAAATAAATTTACTGAGGGGTAAATTTTACTGTTTTGACATAGTTTGAACACTGTTTTGTACTGTTTTGCAGTGTTTGGACATTGTTTTGTACTGTTTGACATTGTTTTGATGTAGATAATTTGCCAAATAAGGAAAGTAAGGAAGTGTGAACTTAATTTAGGGACTGACCAAAAAAGAAAGTGATAACTTAATTGGGGGACTGATGTAGTATATATTATACTCCGTGAAAAGGATTGAAAATGGAATATTCTTAAATTAGAATATACTCCCTCCGTCCCCCAATTAAGTTCTCGGTTTGACTTCATACATATTAAGAAAATAAATTTGACTTTACTGTCTTGCACTGTTTTGCACTGTTTAGACATTGTTTGACACGGTTTGACACTGTTTTGCACTGTTTGACATTATTTTGATGTAGATAATTTGCCAAATAAGGAAAGTTAGGAAGTGTAAACTTAATTTAGGGATTGCCCAAAAAGGAAAGTGGTAACTTAATTGAGGGATGAAGGAAGTATATTCCAACAAAGTACATATATAATTATTACATACTACGTATTACATATATAATTATATATAAAATATACTACGTATAAAATATGACACAGGCTTGCGAGCTTGCTCGCGAGCCACGAGCCTAAAATGAATAGGCTTGAAATGATTGTTAACTATTCGAGTCGAGCCGAACTCGAGTCGAGCTTAATATGACCGAACTCGAGATGAGCTTTTCCCGAGTGATCCACGAGCAGCTTGCGAGCGGGTTGGCTCATTTACACCTCTAGTATGCTCAATTCAATCATCATGAATTAAAAAAAAATGTTCAATTCACACCCGAATCGACAAGAAATGGTTCAAATTTCATTTTTTACGGGCAAACAACCGATCATTTTTTATTTTTTTTAATTGTTTCTGTTTTTTATTTTCGATTTATTGCAATTTTGACACATTTTTACCGGTTGTTTAAACAATCGGTCACAAACCGCCCTCCCCAGCCCTCAGGTCCCTTCCCTAGCTTCCCCTGCCCATGCCCACCGCCCTCAGCCCATAAACCGTCACAATCCCCAAAGTAGCAACCCTAACCACCCAACTGTTGCAACCCCCACACCTTACCGACCAACCCTCTTTCCTGTCCGCCGCCTTTAACCCTGATTCTGTGTAGAAGAAGAAAGAGGAAGATATACGGCGGCGGCGGTGTCATCGGACTCGTCCTCACTCGACGTCATTAGAAGAGATGCAAGGAGATCGATGCTGTCGTCAATCGCTGATTGCGCTGAAAGCTTTTTGTGAGAAGAATTGCGCCAAGAGCTATGCGATCGATCAGTTAGATTGCGATAGAGATAGATGCTCCTCTGCTATCGAGATCTCTTTTAGTAATTGGAAGGTCACTTTTTTGGAAAATAGAAATAAGGTTATATTTTTGGAATTAGAAAGTCCAATGGTAATATAAAGATCATTAATTCTTCTATTATTATTATTATTATTATTGTTGTTGTTGTTGTTGATGATGATGATGTTGTTGTTTTTGTTGTTGTTGTTATTATTGCTCTTTTTGTTGTTGTTATTGTTATTGTCATTGACGTTGTTATTGTTATTCTACTCCGACGGAAGGATATGGGTGATTGATTCCTTTTCGCACTGTACGCGTGAAACCAACTGGGCTGCTCATTTTCTTGTTAAACAGGCTTCTACGCATCAGATGGAATTCGATTTGTTTTTGGATCTTCCATGTCAGGCTAAAAGGGCGGAGGGCCTATTTGCTGGACCTTTTTCGTATTTATTCCATTGGATTAAACTTTTAATTTTGGTTTCTTTTTGTTCTTCAATACTATCCTCCGTTCCATAAAAGTTGTAACAATTTGACTTTCACGTTTGCCAACGCACAACTTTGACTGTAATTATATTTATTTACGTATTAGTAAACATAAAAAAATTAATATATTGGAAATTTACACTAATACAAATTTATTATTATTTTATACATAATATTTTTATTATATATATTATTAGAAAATCGTAGTCAAAGTAAGGTGTGTGAATAGTGCAGAAATTCCAATGTTGAAACTTTTATGGAATAGAGGAAGTATGTTGAGGCATGCCTCTTCTAGTGAGGTTTTGGTTTCTGTCCCCCTCTCATTTGTATCTCTGTTATTTGTTCTCAAATGTTCACTGATATTTGCCCCACTGATTTTGGTGTTTGACTTACCGGGTTTAAAAAATTGAAGTCACTACCAAATATTCATGTCACTGCCCAATTTTCATGTCACTATTGCATGTCATTGCCGCTGCCGCTTCCATTACCCGTGTCACTGCCTCCACCATTGGCCATCACCGACCACCATCGCCGGCCATAGTGACAAGTCCGCAGTGACATTTCCGCCCCAACCTCTGGCTACAGTGACATCACCGTAGTGACATCTCCACTGTTCGGTCATTGTCATCGGCAACCGTCCGCAATGACACACAATTACTCTGGCCACCAACCCCAGGTCAGTTACCGCCGCTTTCTACCCTGCACCACCACTACCAAGCCCCTGCACCACCACCATCGCCCTACCACCACACCACCGTCACTGTCCCCCACTATCGAGACCCCAACCTCACACCCCCGCCACTGCCCCACACCACTGTCAGTTCCATACCTCTGTTGCACCACCCCCAGTCCCCTCCCCGATCTTCTAGCCGTCGACCCAACCCCAAGATAAATCTATGTACAAATCCCATCGGATCTCCTATCACAGTCTGACGTGACAAATGACAAATCATCATTACCTCAACATAGAATGCCACAAAAACGAAAAGAATGGCTAGATAAGAAGATGAAGAAGAATCAGTTCTAAATCGATCTGGCGATGACGATGAAGAGCGGCGAAAGCGTCGTCCCTACTATAGCGATTGCGTCCTCTCCAACGATTGCTTGATAGGTAGACTTGCTAGGGGAAGAAAGAAAGCGATAGAGATAAACTCGATCGATAAATTGCGAGGAACTGGATCCAGAGGCAGGAGCTCGATCGATGACTTGAGAGGAAGAAAGAAAGCGACAGTGATGTGGTCGATCGATGAATTGTGCAGGAATTGGATCCGGAGGCAGGAGCTCGATCGATGACTTGCGCGCAGGAGGTTGGGGCTGGGAAATACGGTAACATTTCAGTCCTTAGCTATGTAGCACCGATACGGGTACACGGAAACGCGAAAACGGGTACGGGGATACGACAAAACAAAAAAGTAAGATACAAATACTGGGTCATATTTATAATATTAAAAGTTATGGAGGTGTATTTATAAATATTAAAAATTATTGGGGTGTATTTATAAATATTTCAAATTACAAGATTTTTTCAAAAAAATATATACCCATTCATGATATTGAATTATTTTACATTATCAAGATCGTTAGTACTCCCTCCGTCCTCCTATTATTGTCCCATTTCCTATTCACATGGTCAACACAAATCATTCTTAATCTCTTACTTTATTTATCAAATTTTTATCAAATTTGATTCTGGTTTTTGCGACTTTATAAAACTTTTAATGTAGTTTCTGAATATGCAATTTTTTTTTTCTAAAAATAATTCTAGTGCGGACAGGGATCTGTTTGCTTTATCGTCAGTCAAGCATCGTAAACCGCAATGGGACAATAACAGGGGAACGGAGGTAGTAATATATATATATTTTTATCTCATATACACTAGTGCATATCGTAATATAATTATAGTCAATAAGTGATTTATTTAAAATGAGGAACAAGTCAAACAACCACAATTTGAAATTAAATGTGCAAGTGCTCAAAGTTCTTGGATAATGGAAATAAAAGATAATACTCTAATAAAAAAACTAAAATTACCATTACGTATTTACACCAGAACTACTAATTTTTAGGGATAACATTGTCTTCCAAACAGACAACCTCCAATTCATATTTATCTATGGAAAAGTTAGCTAATTCAAGTACCCATAAATCTCTCGTGCTCTCAAAGTCATCTCCACTAATATCCTACATTTTACTTGTCGTCCATATACTTAGTTTTGTGTGGATTAAAGCAAGGTAATTTTTTTTAGTTTTTTATTTATTTTTTTAGAATTTTATTATGTAAACTTTGAGTGTTTTTATAAAAAAAGTTGATACGTGTATTTATCAGGATATGAATATCCGAAATTTTAATATAATTACCAAGGTAGTTGGAAAGTGTTAATAAATTACAGATACTGCCTAGGAACGTACGATACGGGTATCCTAGAGTATCTGATACGAGAACTTTTTGATACGTCGATATGGTACTCTGACGAAGTATCCGTGCTACGTAGGTCCTTAGTTAAATTAATCATATTTTTGTCTATCGAAACCGTAGAAGTAATATTTAGCCCATTCTTTCACATAATGTTCTTCTAGCAAAAAAAGATAAAGTTCTCAAAACAGATGATTTGAGAAGCACTTATTTAAAGAAATTAATTAATTACTTAATTAATTAAAGAGGCATTAATGCACCTATACGTTTTATCATGACATTTTAATGTTCCAAAGCTTTCAACAAAAGTGGCTCACCCTGAACCCCCCTCCGATCTTGGACCTGAAGTTGTCATCCCAGTTCTCTCTTTTCCTCAAAGACAATCTGTAAATCTTCTCCCACCCACAAAACATCTTCGTCTCACTTATGGGACAACATTCTCAAAATTCGGCAAAACCATCGCATTCATACAAACTGTTTGGAATCATCTCTAAAGTCACCTCCCTTGCAGAAATCTACAAGGCATTCTCAAGAAAATTGCACCCGGCCGATAGAAGCAACAAACAGAGAACATCTCACCGCCATCAATCCAATTTCATTTCCCATGATGACTCGAACCCGGTAATGTTTATGTTACACAAACATTAATCCCACCATTTCAATGCATTCATTTGAGAAATTTAATGTTCTTTCCAATGAATTCCTCAGAGTATTGTTAGAAGTCAACGACAGAGAGATGGAGAAATCACCCCAGACCGGGAAGAGAAAAAACGTGAGAGGTCGAAGGAGGAAAGGGATAAACCAGAAGAATTTGTGATTTCAAGCCCAAAGCTATTGTCAAGGACGACAAGCCGGGTCGCCCCGACATTGTCGAAAAGCTCCAGCGGCGGATGGCCTAATTTTATAGATTTGTATGTTCATGTGAAAAGATCAGCCTCTGTTTCTAGCGCCACCAGCCCCATGGCTTTTCTTTCCAAAACGATGAGCCAAAGAAACATAAATATGGCCGCGGCATGGAGAAAGCCACCACCTTTGGAGAAGAAGCTTGAATGCACCCTTGAGGAGCTTTGCTTTGGATGTACCAAAGAGGTCAGAATCACAAGAGAAATCAACTCAAATGCAGGGTACATCCATATACACAATCTAGAAGTCAACCTAATGGGAGCAGTTCAAAGTTTTGATAGTAATTTCTTTTTTATATATCTAAAAGTCGGTGCCCGTAGTTGACACTTATCAAAATATAATTGCTCATTTGAGGCTTATTTTCTCTTATATCATATTAAGATTAAAACGAGTAATCGAAAACTTTTTACATTTTGATACTGATTGGGGTGGGATGTCTTTTGACCCCTTTAGGTCACTTGTTTTGGAAGTTCTCTCTCAAAATGAGAGGGCTCCTTAATCTACCAAGTAGGAGCCCAACTTGCTATCTTAAGTCACCATCATTAACCTATTCCAGATATTCTGTTAGGCTCGAGTGGTACTACTCATTCGATGGGGGGTGACACCTTTTCAAAGAACAATACCTATGGCTAAATCGTATAAGTGTGATTATCCTGAACTGTTTCTATGTGAGTAAAATTGAATTTGCACTCCCTTTTAAGAATAAATCATACAGAATGCTCATATTCCATATTCTCAAGGAACAATTTGATAGGAGGACTAATACAAGTTCATATGTGACTATGTATATGAATTTACCAGTGGTTGCATGGCAGGCTAATTTTTCAAGAAGAGGAATATGTGACAATCAAGGTGAAGCCGGGGTGGAGAAGAGGAACGAAGATTACATTCGAAAGCAAGGGAGACGAGAGAGGAGGAACCCTCCCAGAAGACATTATCTTTCTGATTGAGGAGAAGAAGCATCCGTTGTTCAAGAGAGAAGGAGATGATTTGGAGTTAGGGGTTGAAGTCCCTTTAGTCCAAGCTCTCACAGGATGTATTGTAGAGGTACCCACATTAGGAGGAAAGGATATGGTGACTTTAAACATGGAAGATGAAATCATTTATCCTGGGTTTGAGAAAACTGTCCTTGGGCAAGGCATGCCTAAATACAAGGATGGTCAAGAAGGTGATCATCAGAGAGGAGACCTTCGGGTCAGATTTCGAGTCGTTTTTCCAGAAATGTTGAGTGAAGAGCAACGCTCACAAGTTTTGAGTATACTGAAAGATGGGTGATTTTCAAAGTTTTGTTACCTTGGTATAAATCTGCCAGCATACTACTCTACAAGCTGCTCTGGGATCAAGATTCATTTGTACATTCAGCATGTTTTTCTAGTTTTGCTTGGAACTTGACATAACATCTCAGTACCTGGTTTGGAAAACAAAACTTGACAAATAAATGAACATAAAGAACTGAACAAGTTGCAAATATATAAGATTCAGAGGAGGACTAGTATAAAAACTAAAGTAAAACTGTTATGGATGTTGATTAAGAGGCCGTTTGGTAACACTGTTTATCGGCTTATCAGGCTTATCAGTCAACTTTTTCACCAAACACGTAACTTTTGCTTTCACGCGATAAATTGTGTAATAAGCAGAAAAAGTAATGTTGGAGTTACTTTTCTGGCTGTATTGGCTGAAGTTACTGTAGATGACCATTTTAGCTATTTTTACATATAATTTTTTCTTTATTTTATTAATAAAATATATTTTAAAAGTATTTTTTTCTTAAACCAGCAGAATCAGCCAATGCAGCCACTTCAGCCAGAACTTCATAAATTTCAGCAGAATCAGCCAAATCAGTCGATTTTCGTGCTACCAAACGGGCTCTAAGTAGTGTATAAATTAATTAATCGGTTAAAGCAAACATAAACTATATAGTGCAACTTATGGATGTAGTCTATAATTAAATAATCGGTAGTGTATAAATGAGCTTCTGGGCTGGGCTCAGTTGGAGCTAACAGGCTAAGTCGGAATGGGTCATGATGAGGCGGGCTCATGGGCTGGGTCGGGTTTCAAATACCTTCTCTCACTCCCACCCCTTTAAATAGTGGGCCGGGCTGGCCCATTGTCCATATGGGCTGTTTTTTTTAACAAATGGAATGAACTGGCCTCACGGACTCATTTAATGGGCTAAATGGTGATCGAGATACTTCATCTGTCCCATAAAATTATTCTCACCTCCATTTTTGGAATGTTCCAAAAAAAAATTACATTTTCTTTTTTGGAAAGCTTTGTGTGGATACCATCCATTTTTTTTCTTACTCAACGACAATCATAGTTTCGGAAACAATCTCTCTGTGCTTTAGTACAGGGGTAAGACTGCGTACATCCGACCTCCCCTTACCCCACCGTAGGTGGGAGCCTTTGCGACACTGGGGTAATGATGATGATGACTCAATGACAATCATAGTCTTTCACTTTATTCTTACTTTCCTAAATTCCATTCTAAGTCAAAGCGGGAAGAATTTTAAGGGATGAAGAGAATATAAATTTATGAAGAACTACCATCTAATAGAATTTGATTGACTTGTAAATTTTTCACTAAACCTTTTCCAGATTCTAAGCTATCAAATACATTTGAAGAAAACAATCAATTCATGCGAATTGAAAAACTATTCCATTGAAAAACGAAAACGAGTCATGGTGAATTCTTTATCAGAATACGAATAATAATTCGTAGTTTTTGTCATGCTTCAACATGTTCACAATCCTTTAAAAATATTATTCAAATAACAGATTAAAGTATTATTCAATTCGTTAGAGAAGTAGAATGTGATATGACAAAATGCAGGCAAGGCTACATATTAGGGGTGGGTAAAACGGTTTGGTTTAACCGACCGAACTGAACCGAACCGAAAATTGGTGTTTGGTTTGGTTTAGGTTTACTTAAGTAAACCATTTGGTAGCAATTTGCTCAAACCGAATGGTTTGGTTTGGTTTAAAACCGAAAATCGTAAACCGAACCGAACACCGAACAACTTTGTAATACGTAGTATATGTTAACCTACAAACTGCTACAAACTGTGCATCTTTACATTATTTGTATTGCATATTGAAGATAAAAGTGTTGCATGTTATTTGTATTGCATATTGAAGTTCAAAGTGTTGCATATTATTTGTATTGCATATTGAAGTTCAAAATGTTGCATATTATTTATATTGCATATTGAAGTTCACAGTGTGTGTTGGGCCCGGAATTACTAGCAGGCCGGCCCACATCGTTTTTTAAGGAAACAAGTTTATGACACAAGGATTTGAAGCCCATGTAGGCTGCCAAGAGTCCAAGATGGATAAGAATAGAACGTGCAGCATTTAGATAGAGGTGAATAACGATTGACGCAAGACTAGGGGAAAGATAGACATATTCGCCGGGTAGTTGAGTCAACAGAGGGGGGTAAGCATTGGAGTTAAAATAGACTAGCGGAAGAAGGAGATAGACATGATCAATAATGATAAAAAGCTCACAAATACTCTTGTATTCACAGCAATATTCATCAATCAAAATTCTAGTATTAATTTCTCATTATATTTCATTGAGTTCTTTCTTGTACGATTCCCATATTAGAATAATTAGATTGTTATAGAAATTGTTAATTTCTTGCTCAAACAATTTGGCGCCCACCGCGGGGCATCGTGCAAAAGAAAGATCATTCAACATGGCCGATGATAACCGTTTGATGGCTGAGTTTCATGCGCAGCTAGAGTCGGCAAAGGAGGAAATCCGACGAGAAATGGCGGAATGGATGGCCCATCTCCAACGGGAAAATGATTTGCTCCGATCTCAGATCCGATCAGCGGTGTCAATCGCCTCCAATTCCAGAGGCAATAGGAGGAACGACCTCACGCCCGTTGTTACGCGGTTGGAGTTGGACCCCATTCTGACGATGACAGATTCACCCATCATTACGACTGAGCCCATTTCTCTCACACTGGGAATCTCACCCGCCGTGGATTCGCAACCCACCGTCATCTCTCAGGTTATACCTTATACACCTCTCGTCCCCGAGACAACTCCCGCTCCCTGCATACCAACTTGTTTTTTCCCGGAGTCCCTTCGCCCCAGGTCAAGAACGACAGGCTTACACTCAGCCACTCAGATCATTCCAATGATTTCCGCCATGACAATACCGATGGAGCCTTCCGTCCCTCATTACAGAAGTAGAACTCGTGCAGACCCCGGTCCGTCCAACTTCATGCAGAACCGCAGACAGAATATCTCCGACGACTTGCTATCTGAAGTTCAGACGCAACAACCATGTAGACCAGTCACTTCAACGGATCAGAACCCGCGGGGGGCGACGTCCAGAAGTCATAGTCATTCCATCACCAACCCGCCCTGAAGTGACTGAGATGGCAGGACCAACGGTTTCAACAGGAGGACTACATCAACCAGGTCTAATAGACACAATGTTTATGATGATGGACCAACTACGTCAGATGCAAGAAAAGATCAACGGGTTACTAAGAGTGCCCCCACCTTTGGATCGAACGTCATGAACGTGTTATGCAGATTCCCCCTTCAGCAGACAGATCACCGACATGAAGATACCAAGAAAATTTGATGCACCGTCAATGAAGATGTTCGATGGTACATCTGATCCGGTGGAACATGTTGCTCAATACAAGCAATGAATGCTCGTCGTATCACTTCATCCAGATTAGAGAGAAGCGTGCATGTGCCGAGGCTTCGGAGCAACACTATCTAGTCCAGTACTAACTTGGTTCGTCAACTTACCGAATGGAGGGATCAACTCGTTCGCGGAACTAGTTGATGCGTTCAACCAACAGTTTGCGAGTAGTCGGGTTCTTGAAAAGCAGACAAATGATCTATACAGAATCATCCAGCGTCTAGGTGAGTCGCTAAGAGACTATTTGCATCGCTTCAACAAAGAAAAAGTGTCGATTTCCAGGTGTGACACCCCGACGGCGGTAGAGGCGTTTCGGAGGGGCTTGATCGACGATTCAGAACTGTACACGGAATTGTCTAAATACCCCTGCAGAACCTTCGAAGATATCCAAGCCAAAACCCTAGCTTTCATCAGGCTCGAGGAGGATCATCAATCACGGTTTCGACCAGATGGATACGACGGGGGGCAACGTAAATCCAACACATCTAGGAAGCACGACTACCGGACCAACATGCCCTATGCCAGAACTGAAGACCGGCCAGTAGCAAGTTGACTTGATGATCCAGATTTGCCACCCATCATCACCGAATAGTGCTTCAATGTCACAACCCCATGACTCATTCACTCTTTAGAGAAACTGGGGGAAAAGGTCCGATGGCCCAAGAAAACCGACAACCCAGCGGGACGTCGAGATCCGAACAAGCGCTATGATTTTCACAACGACATCGGCCACAACACCGAGGATTGCGTCACACTGCGAAAAGAGGTGACATACTTGCTGAGAAACGGCTATCTAACAGAGATCATGTCTGAACACACCAAATCGCTTTTGGGACGCAATGCCAAAACGTCATCAACTGAGTCGCGACCCCCGTCGCCCTCAGCTCCTTGTAAGGTAATGAATTTCATTAATGGTCGATCTGACTCATGTGGGCTAACTTACTCCGCAACAAAGAGACACGTTCGGGATTATTCCAGAGAAGTCATTGCAGGTTTGCAGGGTCGAGAAACATCAAGAGGAATGGAGAAATGCGTGAATTACTTTTGACGAAATGGATATTCCTGACCCGACACGATCCCATCATGACACGTTGGTCATCTCTCTTAGAGTGGCAAATTGCGAAGTCAAGCGAGTCCTTGTGGATAACAGAAGCACTGCAAATATTACCACAATGAAAATGCTACAGGAGATGGGATTCAAGGAGGACGACAAAATGGAGTCTGGATCTAGCCTAGTCGGATTCAACGGGGAGCCAAACCGAAATCTAGGTAACATATCATTGCCCGTATATGCCCATGATCTCAATGTGCAGGTCAAGTTCGATGTGGTTGAAGACCTCCCAGCCTACAACATGATTCTGGGAACTCCAAGGCTACATGAAATGGGAGCCGTCCTGTCAACATACCACCAAGTCGTCAAATTCCCAACACCATGGGGAGTGCAAGCTATCCAAGGAGACTAAAGAGCAGCCAAGTCTTGCTACCAAACTGCCATGAAGCTAACGGCAGGCCAGTCAACTTCGGCATAAGAATTAAAGGGTGGCTCCGCTTTGGAAGAGGATGATGACAGAACCGAAGAAATTGCCATGGATCCTGAACATCCAGGGAGAATCGTCCGAATCGGAAAGAATATGCCAGAACACCTCAAAAACGAACTAGTGGAGTTTCTCAAAAAACACAAAGACGTATTTGCATGGAGTCACGATGACATGACATGTATTGATCCTAACATGATAACTCACAGGGTATACATCGTCCCATCACACAAACCCGTCAGACAAAGAAGGAGATGCTTTGC